AACCTCCTAAAGTACTTTTTGTAAATTTCTGTATACATTTTTAAACACAACCTCAAATTAAGACTTAGTATTTATCTTTTTGACTAGATCATTGTTAGATTATAGATTTCTGTGCTACGAACAACATACATTTGTCCATAAATAGAAAGCTACTTTGTTGTAAAAAGACGTGAGAAATATAAAAACTACAACTTGTGTTATGATAGTTAAACTACTTTAATATTAGTTAATAAGTAATGTGATTTTTTTTATGTAGGTAATGTAAATCAATAGTACCACGTTGTTTTGGATTATGTATATCGGTCATGGATTTGCAGAAAACGAGAATCGTATTTCAATTGAAAAGTCTCGATTTTTTTAGAAAACATATTTTTTACATAAGTCACAAAAATAATAACACAGTTCTGGTTTCTATAACAGAGTGTTTTTTGGACCCAAATTAAACTTGTAGGCACTTTGACCTTTTATCTGTTTTTCTATTGGCTCTCATTTTGTAGTGTTTGTACAAATGGTACTGATAAGAGCAATTCTCAAAATAATGCTGAATGATTATTGTAGTGTTGTCCCATAAATTGACTTATTTTTTTTAAATGGTAGCAAAATATTATGTTCAAGATAATAATTAAATAAATAAAATCACTGAATTACTGTTTACATTCCTGCTTTCATTCTTATGACAAATTGATAATTTATGAAAAAAACAAAAAAAGATAAACTATGGAGTGTGCAAATGTATGGAGAGTGATGTGTCCCATTTAGCAGTGTATGACTTTCCATAAGCTTTATTTTGAAATATTATGGGCTGGCATTAAATTTTTTGGTGCTATTTTACGCTGTTACTATCAATTTATCCTTCGAATATACAATTTTGCGAAAAACAATGCTTATATTAAAAATAAATATATTTTATAACATGTCTTCAAAAAGTTCCTTATGCCGTTTCTTATTTTGTTACGTGGTTTATGGAAAATATTTAAAAACAAGTTAGTAGATTATGGTTTTCTGTGCACTCTTAACGTTTGAGAAGAACGTAAAGCTAAAAGTAGCATTGCCACTTGTCAAATTCATTTGAAAATATCGTTTCATTGTGTGGTGCTCGCCGGATTCACAATTTTCTTCTTGTTTTGTAACTGTATTAACAAGGGTAAGTTTATAATTTTTAATGTTTATAGTATTAAGAATAGATAATTGTTTAATAAATTTTTGATATCTTATTACATACAGTCGATTTTATCAGATTTTATTGTAGAAATACATGAAATGAAACTTATGGTCTATGTTCGTTACTTCCTCTTTGGTTACTTTTGCGTGGTTATGTATAAGAAGAATATGAAGTAACAAAATAGGAATACGTAAGGCAGAGTCTACATTGCATTTTTACCCAACTATGGCACAATATAAGGGAGGGAATTATTTTTTACTTTATGTCTATAAGTATGTAGTTCTTTTGGTAACCGACTTCAAAAAAGGAGGTTCTCAGTTTGACCTGTATGTTTGTACGTATGTACGTATATATGGTTGTCCGCGATTTTCTCAAAAACTACTGATTCTATTTGGGTTGGGTTTTCACCATTGGTCTCGTGTGTTTAAGTGGGTCGTAGATGGCTTAGATTAACAATTACACCCAGTAAGTAGGTGGCACTTCAATCGGGTTCTAGGGTTATATTCTATTTTACGATTTTTTGTTGTGGTTTTGAGTGTGGTTTCCTGAATTCCCCTGATAAAAAACCCTCGCTGAGTTTCTTCTCAGCTGAGCTGTTTTTGAGGTCACAATAGATTTCAGTTTTAAGTTGACGTGATTGCCTAGGAATCTTCATGATATTAAAGAAAGTTTGAATTTTAATGGTTGAGATTGTACCCGGCGCTGCCAATCGGGTGCACAAGACAACGTCTGTCGAGACAGAGCTGTCTATTCATAAATAATTCAGTAGTTCCTTTCAATAAATATTCAAATTATTTTACTAAATGTTGTTAATTAATATTTTTCTACACATTCTATTTATACTTTTTTTTTTCTTTTAAATCACATTTCTAATTTCTGTGCATCTACCATTTTTTTTTTTAAACTCTGCATCGCCCTAAGGTCGACTGGTAGAAAATGCCTACGGCATTAAGTCCGCCTGTGTCACATTTGTGCATAAAGTATAAATAAAATAAAAAAATAAAAAAAATACACATGGCGGAATGAAGCAGGTATATGCGTTTAGGATGAGATTTTGTTTGTTTATTTTTTTGACTTAAACGTAGTTAGGTACTTACTAAAAACCATCGTTATTAGCTAGTTTTAAATGTAAAAGTAATTGTTTGCAGTTAATTCAAGAATGCCATTAACAAACGCAGAAAAGCAGAGACGCTATAGAGAGCGCCTTAAACAAGATCCAGAAAAATTTTATAACTACAGAAAAAAAAATTTAGAGAGAAAAAGGAGAATGAAGAAGAAGAAGAATGAAGAGTTTATTGGATAATTATATGTTTGGTGCCCTAATTGTGATTTTTTCTTATATGATCATTACACTCCAGACGAGCGTGAGATTTGCAATGCGTAATTTTTATAATAATTTCATAAATATTACTAAATAATACTTAAGTTTATTTGATATACCATTTGTGATTTAGACATACTTACCTATAAGGATTTTTGATTTATTTACTTTAGAATAAGTATAATTATATTTTTTAATAGTACTACTGTACTAATGAATACTTTCAACGACAGTTCTTTTAAAATACTGTACTCGAATCAAATTCGTAATTTCTAAGATAGCTAATTAACATCATTCTCAATCTTAAGTTCGAATTATGTTAAATAAAAACATTGTTTTGAAGTGTATTGTATACTCAGCCTTATAAGTTCTTGTTTTGTTACCAAAGTTCCTAATTTGTTACTGTCCTAATTGAGATGACTGATTTTTCTCTTAATATTTAAAATATAACATTTTTTTATAATAATTAAGAATGTTATAGCATAGAATGTTGATTTATTTTGTAATTTTAATTAAAAAATGACTGAGATTCTGCCTGTGAACTTAATAATTTAAAATGTTTTCCAAGCAGGTGTTCCAAAGGTAACGAAATGGACAAAATGTTGTCTATTTCTTCTAAAGTATTGATCTTAAAATTAAAGTTTTCTGTTCTCTGTCTGTGTTTTTATTTAAAGTATTTAAAATTTATTAAAAAGATTTGCAATCTTTTACGTGTTTTCATTTTTAACGAATTTTATTCGGTAACGTAATAAGAACATTTTTAGACCATTGCCTTCAAAACTTATATTTTTTTTCAAGAAATATTAAATAAATAAGGTAGTTTTATAAAAAATAATAAAATTTGATTATATCTTTATTAATTAGAAACATTAACAAGTAGGGTACTGTCTTTTTTTTTTTAAAGTCAAAATAAAAATTATTCAGCATTATTTTGAGAATTGCTCATAAACTAATACTCCAATTTTAATACAATCAACTAATTAAAGACTGACATTTTATTTAATGTAGAATTCTTATGAGTCATTCATAGATAATGTTATGACTTTATTAGTAAGTCACGCTTTTCTAACTTTTACTGTCGAATGCAGTGACCTGGTATTGAGCAGATTACACAGACAGACAGGCTCTAATTATTAGAAGTAAAACACATTCATTCGTTTCTATTCACACTTATGATTTTTGTTTTTATTAAAAAGTGTAAAACGTTTAAGAGAAGTTATCTGTTCCGGTAGGTGGAGCACCTACGCGTCCGGTTAAGAAACTAAATTATCCAGAGGCTCACTACAAGACATTTTTTTTATCAAAATCGATCCAGCCGTTTAAGATTAGATTCTTCCTATAGGGTTGGACCCACTGATATACACAGTCACACACAGACATACAATAAAAAAAATGCAAAACGTTTAATTTTAACTACGAAAATAACAAACAAAAAGCACCCTAACCAGTGAAGTTCAGTCCAGTAAAGTATCCTAAAAAATTAAAAGTAAATACCATACCTACTTTTATGGTCCTCAAAACGGATGTTAAAAAATATACAGTCAGGACTACAAATACATATGTATGTATATTGCATCGGTCCATATAGGTCTACCTAAAAATCAAATATATCTAACAAGAACATCATGGAGATCTGAATACATATATGTATTATGCACATTTTTGATCTTTGGTTTGAACATATTTTGTTTGACCCAAGAAACAGATAACATCCATAATATTGTTGTCAGTTGCAGCGGACCAAATATTTCTCTCCTAACAATAGTTGTTTTTGTTGTGAATGAATTGTCTGGCCGTGTACTAATATACATAAAGCCCCTTTTCTACACCTTGCTTTTAAATAGAACGTTAGTTATTATAATTTATATACTCATGCCAAGCTTTGTTGAGTCAACGACGAATTTTATTATGATTTATTTTCAGCCATGTCTGTGAATGTTTTATGACATGTCCCTTTTATGATTTTCAACGAAAAACTAATGAGTTACTATGTGGATTGATATTTATTTAAACAAATATTGATCTGATTTGATAAATAAACACACACACACTTCGTCATCACCGCATTGTGCATATATCATCATTATGGGATCTACTTTAGGATTGGGTATTTTGCACAAAATTAAGAAAATATAAATTTACCAACTGCTGTCGTACAGTGCAATCAACCGAAGGAAAATAAAATCTATTGCCTCGTACGTAAAACGTTTGAAACAAGTGACGTAGAGTAATACAAACCCATCTGACGTCTGTTCAATTCACATCAAAAAACGCTGTCAGGCATTTCATGTCAATAATAAACGTATTTACGTTATACGGAGCTATTCTAGACATTTCTGGAATATTTACACATACTGATATTTTAGGACTTCTAACTTGCATAGATATACTAGGTCTATGGTAGTCTATATAGTTTTGGAATAATCGTACACTAACATACCTTTGTATGCATAAAGCAATGTTTTTGGTTCTGGCTGTATGCCTACAAAATTAGTCTATAATGTACTTGGTTTTCAGGAGTTTGGAGAGCCAACTGAGTCGGAAAAGCCCACGAGCGAGGAGTACTCCGTTGCGAAATGGTTGAAAGCTAACGTGCCTACCAAGAAGACTAAGTTCTTGAATCATCACGTGGAATACTTCACTGGTAAGATCTTTCGTTCTATATTACATTTTGAAACCCAAGATTTCTCAGTCAACTGTCAGTTATTCCATTTTCGATGATAAAGATAACACCTGTTGGTCTAGTTGTTGGTAATACTGACTGCTGGTCCCAAAAGGTTTTGGGTTCGACTCAGGATAACTAATTGTATGATGAACTCGACGATTTGTTTTTGTCTGGGCATAATTTCACTATGGTATGTACGTATTTAACAATATATAAGTATTTTTATCAGCAGCTTTCTCACCATTGTACAGACTCTGCCTTATTTAAGACTAGCTGACCCGCGCAACTTCGTCTGCGTCTCTCAATAGTAATAAATTTTCTCAGTTTTTGAAACATTCTTCATTGGTGCTCCGCTCCTATTGCTCTTAGCGTGATGATATATAGCCTATAGCCTTCCTCGATAAATGGGCTATCTAACACTGAAAGAATTTTTCAAATCGGACCAGTAGTTCCTAAGATTAGCGCGTTCAAACAAACAAACAAACTCTTCAGCTTTATAATATTAGTATAGATTAAACAGCCGCTTTCCTGTATATTTACATGGTCAAGTGCAAAATGGCTGACAAACAATCAGTAATGAAATACCTCGTCGTCGTTCCTCTTATTAGCAGTAATCAAATACATTATATCTTAATGTTCTGATGCCTAGCTTTGTATTCAAGATTAATCAGAGTTAATTGAATGTGTAAGTTTACAAATACAGGTCATTTTACGCGTTAGCAAAAGTCGGTTTCAGTTAGTGCTAACCTTAGCGGTTTCTACTCTCTATCAGACGGAGCACAGAATTCAGAGTTCATTTTCATCTCTCAAGAAAACATGTAGTCGAAAAAGGAATGTAATAAAACGAATACGTGAATGATCGTCCAAAAATTAAGACTATATTTAAATTTTTTAAATAACATTTCGATGGCCTGATGCCAAAACTGCATTTCCTTTATGTGTAACAGTGAGTATTCGATCACCCAAAGAGCTTCCGTTAGGCACCAAAATATGATGAGGAATTTAAATGGGAAAAGTATTTTTGTACATAATAAACCGTATTTTATTGTTCGCACTTATTATTCGCAACTGTACAAATAAATTAATGTTTGTTCATCTTTGTATAACAGAAATATGGAATCGACTGGTATGAGTTTTTAACCGACTTCAAAAAAAGGAGGAGGTTCTCAATTCGACTGTATTTTTTTTACTAGATGTAATAACCAAATATCGGTCGTACGTAGGGAGTAGTCGGTTGGTGGTGACCATATAGGTCAACTCACCAACTATCTCCAAGGCAGACGTTCTGGATTTCGTCCTTCATGTAGAACGAATTGAATGTTTCACAGTCATTTTGGTACATATAAATATTTTAGGAAAACTCATTGTTAAAAACGACGTGAGGGGTCGCTATTTGGACGTTTGCTATACATGTTATATGAAATATGAAAAGGATAAGCGTCGACGCACCAACTGAAGTGTTGGAAAAAAGTCTTGTTACACATTTTTCGGTCTTGCTGCCATCCGCCCAGAACGTGTAATGTCCATTAATCACGTGAGGGGTTTCGGCGATTTTCTGATTCAACCCCGTCCCCCATCCGACAATATAACGTAAGATTTTAAAAAATGTGTTTTTAGTGTAAAGGCGGAATTATTCTAAAAAAAATTTGCTTAGTATTTTTATTTAAGACAAATTCAGACGAGTATTTAAGATTGCTTCAAAAGTAGGCCAGTAAATATTATTGGATAAGAATTGGCCATATTTCCGTGGAGGTATATGTTGTACTTAATTTGACCCAGTTTTCTCGCAATTTTACTCTGTTTCTTGCGGATAAAAACTTTTTCTTTTTAAAAATTACTTGATATTTGCCGAGGAGACCCCCCTCTCCCCAAAGTAAGATGAGATGAGATTCTGCTCGACCCCCTCCACCCTCCCCCCTGAAGGCCTCACGTCATTCCAAAAGCACACGTGGGAAGGATATTCCCTTATTTTATAATAGAATTCGAAGAAGCATACACGTCAAACTACATATGTTATCAAGATAAAAGATAATTTACTAGTCACTATTAGTGAGTAGTAACCACTATCAATACATACAATTAACAAGTAACATTAAAATCATAACTTATCGCACTTTGCGAAGAATCTCAAGACTCTAACGTGGTGTATAGGGTCTGAGACAGGTCATCTACCTGAAAACGAAAGTCCTGTCACAATAACGCTCCTCCAACACATAGTGGTGGTCCGTGTGGTGACGGATTAAGAATACGGATTGTCCCCACCCCCATTCATCCCGTGGGTGTCGTAAGAGCCAACTAAGGGAGCAAACTACGCAGGATAACAACACAAACCCTATACCAACCCGTCAGGCCAGCGTGGTATAGTAGGCCAAAACCTCCTTTCTAAGGAGAGGCCTATGTCCAGCAGTGGACTGTTAAAGGCTGATGATGATGAACACATAGTGCCTTGAATACTTCAGTATAGTTTATAGTGAGATCATTGTACATATATAGTACCTACTTATTGGTAAACGACACTACACACATTATAGTAACACATCATTAATATAAATCACAGCCAACATGTACATGACCCATATTAGTAATATAGGTTATCGTTTATCCAACTTATGTTTATAAATCATTACCGTGTTGAAAAAATATAACGTTTAATACATACACCGCTGTGACTGAAGCGAATTCTGAATGTTTTCTATAAACATTAACTCTGATTTGATTCAGCATCTGGTTTGATTCTTGAAGATATCGATTTCTACATTTGCCTATATTTATTTTTAAGGCAACTCCCGCAAATATATCCTGTGTCACGGGGCACTTTACAAACATACATAAAACGGACACAAAAAACACTCAGACTCAGAACAACAACTTGTGGAACACACAAAGTGTCGTCCCACGTGGGGATCGGGCAGAATGGCGACCGCTTAAACCACTACGCCATCCGTGCAGTCAAATAGTATGAAATAATCGCATTGCCATCACAAAATTAGCGAAGGGCTTGAGGATGACTGACTGACTGACTGCTTTTGGGGTTTTGATATATCGCCTTAAAAACCGGACACCGAAAAAATATTCGTAAAACATAAAGGCTCTTCCCCCCAAAACTGAACAGAAAGACAATACATAAGCGTGTAAGTGTATGCGTAATGTGTCGACTAACCGTCATGTTTGCATTGTCACAATTTTTATTTTCCTATACAAATGGACTTTTTATTTTTATGTTCGATTAGGATTTCTGTTTTATTTTTTATTAGAAAAATATACTTGCGTGAGTGACAGTCTTATTTATAGGTAAACGGTGTTAGGAGTCACCGTCACAGAAGGACATTTCATTTCTTGAAAGAGGGCCCCGTCAAGTTATTCATCCGCGAAATACACACGTCAGTAAAACCGTTTGTTTATCTTTAATAAAGTAAGTTTTGCTGAAACTTGTTAAAATATTTATTTGTCGCCAGTCTGAAAATTGTTAATATCAAATATTTTGTAATAAAGAAAAAATAAAAGACCTCTACAGTTAAAGGTTAACAATAAAGTATAATTATTTAATGTTAACTCGCAGTCTAGTTTTAAGATTGGTGTTCAATAACAATTTTCTGTTTCTATTCGACGTCACTGTTAAACTGTAAATATTTCCTTTGTAAACAATTAAACTACAGTTCTCATAATAACGAACGTCATCTCGGACAGTCTTAATACTTAATATTTCATTAATTACATGACGAAACATTAAGCGTTTATTAATAAGCCGGCGCTCCTTCCACACATTACCTATTTCAAGTTTCCAGTCCATTTAAAATCTACTTAATAAGTAACGTACGTAAAAGTAGTTTAAAATCTACTTAAAAGTGTCCGTGTGGTGACGGATTAAAAACACAAATTGTCACCACCCCAATTCATCCCGTGGGTGTCGTAAGAGCCGACTAAGGGAGCAAACTAAGCAGGACAACAGCACTGCAAAGAGAAGGAAAATTTGAAACAAACCCTATACCAACCCGTCTGGCCAGCGTGGTACAGTAGGCCAAAACCTCCTTTCTAAGGAGAGGCTTATGGCCAGCAGTGGACTAGTATAGGCTGTTGATGATGATGATGATGATGATAATAAGTAAAAAACTCCTTCCTTCCTTTAAAAAAGTACCACCGATATAAATGCGCTTTCACCTTGAGAATTGTAATAAACAATTTATTCTTTATTCATTAATTTTCAACCCTGACGAGTGGTATTTATTAGACATGGGACAAAATCACAGTAAACTGTGATTTATCATTCGATGTTTTCATACGTAGGTTGGGGTTACTACTTACACGCGTTGCTGCTTTCAGACGATATGCATAAAGTATTTTTTTAAATTATTATTTAGGGCATGGTAGCTCTAGGGTCTTTATGATAAATCACAGTTCACTGTGATTTTGTGCCTTGACTAGTATTTATTCTTCAAATTACAATTAGGTGAAACTGGACGTATACCCTCAAAAAAAAAGGATTTTCCAATTCAGTTCTTAAATTAGGGAGTTCTGAGGTAACAGATAAAAAATAACCGAATTGCGAACCTCCTCCGGTCGATTAAAATTATAAGATTTCCTCCTATTTTTTGAAGTCGATTCATACGATAAGATTTTCTCCTTGTAGTCCGTTAAAAATAATAAGCCATGATGTTACAAATAGTCTCACGACTTTAGCTCACAGTACAAACTGAACCCGTAAAAGTAGTGGCCTATTGAGGCGAACTACCCTTTTTTTTTTCTTTTTTCCGTATGGAAATCCCATCGGATACCACCTGTCGGTGGCATGTCGGACTCGAACCGACTAAAACCGCACGCCGTCTCGGGTACTAATAGCCGGGGAACCAGGTATACCCTAGAAAGGAAGTCCCTGGTGTGGGGCGAACTACCCTAATATTAAAAAGATAATCTTATCTTATCTCACAATTGCACAATACCTGTCCTAAATATAAAACATATAGAGAAATGTTCGAAACATAATTGCAGGTGCAAAAGCAGTGGACGCGTTGCTCACCTCAAAATGGGCGACAGGCAAAAATCCAATCTTCACAACGAGGCACGATGTTACAGACTACCTACATCAGATGCTGTTACACAAATTGTTCCATAGAGCTAAAAAGGTCGGTATATTCACATCTCCAGCCAGTTTCTTACTCATAAGGCTGACAGTTATATTCTGCCGGGTTAGAATCATTGTGTGTTTGTAGTGTCTAGGTTATGTAATGAATGGTAATGAACCGCTGGATTTTTGTTTGGCAAATAAGCACACCGCTTTCTCTACGGTAAGCGATTACCAGCTTTAATGACACTCAACACCAGTGACTATATTGTGTATTAATTACCCTATGCCTCTAGACACACTTATCGACAGAGCAATACTAAGCCATCAAATAGAATTTTGGTTACTCAACGGTTAGAATTAAAATGGAAAATACTTTTTAACGTATTTCAATAGGAGCTTCATTTTTCTTCAATTGAACATACTTCATTGCTCACATTATGGTTATTATCCGTTACGGAAAAATACATTGAACTTTATTGTCACCCAAAACTGGTTTTAATGACGTTGCTAGCCAAGCAACTGATAACGCAGACAAACTGGCGCAATCCATGTGTTAATTACATTGTAATGATAACTTAACGCGTGTCATTGATATGGTTCATTCGTTCGTTCATTCCTCAGAGGCCTTTGTTCCACGTGCTCTTAGTCTAATATATTTTCTACTAGTGTCATCTAGTGGCGTAAGAATAAAACTGTTACTGTCGTTTCTATATACCATAATAATACCGCGTTATTACATATTTTTAAATAATATCCCGACCATAGTACTAAATGACCTTCCATAGGTTTATTGGTGCAACCGTATATAGATTGCGGTTGCAGTTGATAGTTTCACACAGAAACGAATATGAGACCGTTTTGCAGCTAATAAATAGTATAGTACATGTTGATGAACATACACTAAAATTAATTTATAATTTATTTTAGGTTCCAGTATCTGAACAAGAATTGAAAGGCAAGAAGAAAAAAGACTTGGAGAAGTCAAGTAAAAGTGGAGATGAGAAAGATGGAGAAAAGAGTCAAGCCAGTGCTTGTGAAGGAAAGGTAAGGTGTCATTAAGTTACTACTAAACGCTTACTAATGTGACGTAGGTGAAATTAACTTATTAATTTTAAACAAAAAAGTAGCTTTTGTAGCCTATGTCCTTTCCCGGTACTCAAACTATCTCTATACTAAATTTCATTTAAATCGGTTCAGCGGTTTAAGCGTGAAGAGGTAACAGACAGACAAATACTAGTATTGATAAATACTCGTAGGTACTCGGTTGATTTATTCACCCGGGTGATATAACCCAGGTGAACATAGTGGAATAAACCATTATTTTATGTACATTGACAAGCATACAATATTTTTTATTTTAGAACTACTTATGAATCACTAATAATAACTAGTTACTGAGTTAATATCTTACAATAAGTTATGTTTGCGCTTGACACAGGATATATTCCGTATGTGAGAGATGTCTTTAAAACAAATCTCTAATAATAACTAGTTACTGAGTTAATATCTTACATTAAGTTATGTTTGCGCTTGACACAGGATATATTCCGAATGTGAGAGATGTCTTTAAAACAAATCTCTAATAATAACTAGTTACTGAATTAATATCTTACATTAAGTTATGTTTGCGCTTGACACAGGATATATTCCGAATGTGAGAGATGTCTTTAAAACAAATCTCTAATAATAACTAGTTACTGAGTTAATATCTTACATTAAGTTATGTTTGCGCTTGACACAGGATATATTCCGAATGTGAGAGATGTCTTTAAAACAAATCTCTAATAATAACTAGTTACTGAGTTAATATCTTACATTAAGTTATGTTTGCGCTTGACACAGGATATATTCCGAATGTGAGAGACGTCTTTAAAACAAATCTCTAATAATAACTAGTTACTGAGTTAATATCTTACATTAAGTTATTTTTGCGCTTGACACAGGATATATTCCGAATGTGAGAGATGTCTTTAAAATAAATCTCTAATTCGTAATATTTAAACTTTTAAGGACACTAAAGACGTGAAAGAGAAAGAAAAGAAGAAACGCAAAATTCGTCTGGAGATGCACATGGAGCAGCTGTTCCTCGACACGCCGGACGCGTACGTGTGGATCTACGACCCGAAGCCGTGGTACTACTGGCTCGCCGGCATACTAGTCGTGTGCGGGACCATCATCGTCTGTATGTTCCCGCTCTGGCCTGCCACTGTCAGGTGAGGATATAGCATAATGTTACAGGGCTATTAATGCCTTATTAGAATCATTAAAGGCGTAGTAGTGACAGACGTAGTACGGAACTATGAGAAACGGCCAATCGAGTAACGTTCGCTTTGTTAATACATATCAGTGTATTGCACTCTAAATTCTGATGATGCAAATGCGGGACGGAGATTGAACTTTCTGAGCAGTACTTGAAACAAACCCTATACCAACCCGTTTGGCCAGCGTGGTATAGTAGGCCAAAACCTCTTTTCTAAGGAGAGGCATATGTCCAGCAGTGGACTGTTATAGGCTGTTGGTGGAGCAGTAGATCTTTATCAATCTGTTAGATTGGACAGTCTGGCACTTATATAAAAATAAACACCACTGACTATCACAATTATTTATTATATATCTCTACACAACTTTAACATAACGTAACTTAACACAGACAAATTAATGCTACACCATTTAGCATGGATTATACGCGTTTAATTGGCCCCAGCGAAGGGCAGAATAGACCCGGAGTATACTATTGCTCTAGAGTTCTTTGCTGAAAACCAACCAAGGTTGGGGAGTGGTTAGAGACCACAATTATATCAGCACTAGAGAATAATATCTGGCTGAATAAAAAAATTGATTCGTATTTAACGTGTATTTATTGGTGATTTGCAATGTTAAAATCACGTCTTTTTGCTATTATCAGTCAGTAAAATTAGGAATGTAATAGCACGCTCTGTGTGTGTTCACAATTCTGAGTGTAGTGTCTCGTGGTTGCAGAAAAGGCGTGTACTACCTAAGCATCGCGGCGGCGGCGTTCCTGGTGCTGATCATCGCGCTGACGGTGGTGCGCGTAGTTGTGTTCTGTTGTGTGTGGCTGCTCACGCTGTCGCGCCACCACGTGTGGCTGCTGCCCAACCTCACCGAGGACGTTGGCTTCTTCGCATCCTTCTGGCCGCTCTACAAGGTGACACGACTCTACACTTTTATTGTAGACTAGCTGAGACCCGCGGTGTTACCCGCGTTTGTTGTTATAACAGCGGGCAACGCCGCGGGGCGAAGCTAGTCGGAAAAAAGTAGCCTAAGTCACGGTACAATTATAATACAGTACTGTAACTCGGCCGCATGATAGAAATAAATGCCTACAGCCGCGCGGTACGTAAACATGCGTTAGGGCTGCCCGTGTCCAGCATTTTAATTATATTTGCCTACTTTCTGTTTCTATTTAGATTTGTGATTGTAAATATTCTTTTTATATAAATAAATGAAAAACTTTGTATATTGAATAGGAAGTGTTCAATAAAAATGCGTGTTGTTTTTTGATTGGTAGATTTAATTAAAAAAACATGTTTTTGTTTGAAAAACAAATCGGGCTTATAAATTTGCGACCGAAAAAAATCCTTCTATAAAATAAAATAAATGTGCTTTCTCCTTACGCGTTACAAAACTCCAATCCTTAGAAACTCCAACACCTACCTACTCAACTAGAATGCAAGAAACAGCTGACGAGTAAGTAACTTTTTATCTCAGCTTATTAACGTCTCTATAAATTAGGTACCTACCTACAACTCAAAAAAAAAATCTTTGGTCACCAATTAATTAATTATTAAAAAGCTGAACAGCTGACTACGAATGTTTTAAAATCACAACCCTGAAACATCTAAATATTATATATGAGTCTAGCTGTTGTTGTTAATACCGAGAAAATAAAACCAGTTTTTAGTGGTATATGTTGTTATAGTAGCAGCAGAAACACTTTGTGAAAATTTCGAAAACTGTCTAATGACACACAGACGGTAAAAATTTTTTTTTAGTATTATTCATACACACAGATAATAAACAAATATTATTAATAATAAAATACCACGTCTTTACTTTGAATTATGCAAAGTAACAAAACACACATGCACCGAAGTTTTAACACAAGCGTAAGTAGGTAGGTACCTACCGTAGCATGATTCATTTAGAACCGCATATAGCTCCCTATTTCACTCGTCTCAATAACTTTCCGTTACTCTATTTGCTTTATTTATTCATCCAAACACCTTTTTTTCGTGAGATAAAAGGAAATACTTATCCATTAAAAAGACACACATTATGTAGCTACCTACTAGTAAGTAAAATTATTTTATAGTCTTACCTTTCAGAGTTTCCAGGTAATTTAAAACTATTGTCTGTACTGTACGGTAACTTATGTCTGGATGCGTTATTGACGAATTCATACAACCAAAAACAGCACAATATTTCCTACTCGTCAAATTAACTGATTTTTAGAAAAAAAATCGCGCGGTTATTGTTAAAAAAACAACACACAGTCCGTTCGACACTGCGGTACAGCCGTGACTGTCTGCGCCCCGAGCGCACCCCGAGATCGAGGCGCGTAGGTATAGCTCGCGTTTCGTCCGTTTGTATGAAGTTGGAGTACTGTATTATAATAGTACCGTGCCTAAGTTACTCCTTATGTCATCAGCTATCTGCCAATGAAAGTCCCGTCGAAATCGGTCCAGCCGTTCCAGAGATTACCCGGAACAAACAGACAGACAGACAGACAAAAATTGTAAAAAATGTTATTTTGGCATATGTACCGTGTAAACATACATATGCATTTAGTAAAAAGCGGTTATTTTAATATTACAAACAGACACTCCAATTTTATTTATTTGTATAGACTAACTTATCTGAAAATATTTAACACACACATTTTAGAACTGGGCCTGGGAGCAAAACTGTATAAATTTAACATTTTATGTAAAATTATTAATATTTAAATTTTACTCAGTTGTTATAAAACGCGGAGACTTTCTTTACAAACCTAATATTGATGAAAAATTAAGGTCCTAAGGAACTAAGTTTAACGGCCTTATATATCTAGTATTTTGCGAAACAATTAGTCCTTAAAACATAAGAACTATACTTTGAGTTATATCATTTAAACAACCATTTCAGTACGAATACCGCGGGCCGGGCTCTGTTAGCGACAAATCATCTAAAAACAAGAAGAAACGCAAAAAGGACAAAAACTCGGACGATGAGAGTGAGAAAGCGCCTTTGTTGGAAGAGAAGTCAGATGTTATACCTAGTGGTGAACAAAACAACGCACAGGAAGAGCCTCTCGTTGACATGAAGTAAGTTATGCAATATTACTCTTAATAGAACATTTTAAACTGGAAATTAGTACATTAAAGTATTTGACATGTTTTAAGCTCTAATCCAGCGGCATAGTGATGTGTCTCTTTATCTTCGTGGCGCTAATTTTCTTAGTAGGGTAATGGGAGTCTTGAAGGAGGGAATGGTGATTTATCAGCAGACATGCCATTTACCTATAGAGATCAAAGAGTACATTTTTATTAAAAGGTTTTGTCCTGAGCTTTTGCATTTTATATGTAATTATAACATAAGGAATTCACTTTTTATTTGATAATGAATAAAATTGTTTTACAGGTGATGTATATAGTAAAACGTATCTCTTGATTACTAAACTAAAAGAGAAACGCCCAGCCTAAACAGGAATTTAAAAAATTTGCAATGAAATAAATAAATATACAAAAAACAACATCCGAAATTCAATTCGAATAGAGAATTCCTTTTCAGAAAAGTGTTTATCTTATAAAATGTAAGTTAACTATATTTCTAACTAACTTTCTAGGTCCGAACAAGACACAACGTCTCCCGCCGACAAACATTCAGAGTCAGAATCTGAGAACAGTCAGCGCTCGTCCACAGACAGAGATTTCGAAATCGTGGAGCAAGCTGATGTTGAGCCGTACAAGGACGACGCGTAAATATATTGTATTGTGGTCACCGGGTGTATTTGTACGGGTCATGGATGCGTTTAAACCTTAATACAAACAAATTATCTCCTAAAGCTTTTCTTTACATGAAAGTAAAGTATTTTTTTAAATGAAGTGATCAAGTGAGACTGACAGTGTGTTAGGCAGTATTCGATACAATCGCACACATACATCAATCAGTCAGGCTTGCAATGTGGCGAAGATGTTCAAACTGTGGTGGTAGTTGCTATTTCGTTTAAACGACTAGCATTGCCAATAATTCACTATCTCCCAAATGTGATTTATGTTTATTTCCAATATCGTACTTTTTTATATAATCGTCTCTTACAAGAAAAGATGATAATGCTTCCAGAAGTTTTAATTTATTTATTTATATTGATAGAAGTAAAACGCACTTTACAAATACACCCACATTGTTTGACACAATATCAGAGACTGTAAAACATCAGTTAGGTTAGTTTAGGTTAAATTACTAAGTATTTGATGGATATTGTCACTTATCCAACGATGTAACACAAATTTAATATTATGTCGAACGAATGTCGTTCGTAGTGATAACATTGCTCTTTAATTACAAAAGTTGATAATACCAAATATTTGTTTTAGAGATCTGAGTAACAAAAATGGTTTGAATTTCTGTTTGATTGACTGATGTCGCTATTTTTGAGGGGCATCGTGAACTACACTCGCAAATAAAATTAATTAAAACCTTAATAAATAAATAATATCAAACAATTGTACTATAATCTTTTTTTAAAGAAAACAATTATTTACTTTAATTAATTACAGTGTAGTGTTCGGATGTCCCTTAAATATTAAAATGTAGCACTCATTGTAATTGACATTTTTAAAATGATAAATTTATCACTCCCTCTAATTCTAGTTAATCTCGAAATATTCTACTATTCTAAGTAGTATTAAAGTATGGTCAGTCAGTTGGACAATTAACTGTTTAGGTGCATTTACATTCGTTCCATAATTCCTAAAAAAACGGACGATATTGTAAATAAGGCATTGATGGTCTCAACACACTGTGACGACACTGATTTTTGACAATTTATTAAAGGCTGTAACACTGGTTTCGAACCATTGTCGGGCGCTAACATTGCGAGTTAAAACCTTAAGATCAGGTATCTTTAGCTAACATCTGCCATCACACAGGAATCTATGCAATAGAGTTTAATTTTGCATAGATTCTATTGATGTTTGTTACGTCCGTCGGGTTTCGTGATTTGGACAGATTTGGATGGCGATACGTTACACGAAAATGATATTTATTATACTTTATTTATCATGTCAATTACTCTGTAATGATTTATTTCATAGCACATTATGTATATATTACCATTTATTTCATAAAATCATTTCCTTTTCAATATCTATCTATGAATGTAGTTCATATTTTTTCTCGTCTTTTTATAGGTTGTGTACCATTTTCGTGTATTCTGTGTCTCTCTCAGCTTTAATATTTTGGTGCTGTCTACATATTTGTGATTTTAAAGATTTACTAAACCGCGTAAATCGCGACGTTTTCGATTTGTGTTTTATGATTATTTTGCACAAATAAGTTTGTTAGTACGCAGTCATTCATATCAAAATCATTTACTGATGTTTTGACGAGGTGTATCATGATAATCAATGGTATTTCAATAAAATGATACTATTTTTATGTTGGTTTTATTTAAGGATATATTACAGTAGATTCTACAAAATTAGTGCATATAACAGTACACATATATTACTTATAAGGTAACATTGACTATTGGAATTCAAATTATTTGAGGTTACATTGCATTGGAAATTCTAAATAGGTTTAATAATTAAACTTCAACTCTTATTTTTGCAGGTAGCATTATTTACAAAAGAAATAAAACTAGTCAAAGATCTATAATAAAACGATTCCAACCTAGACTACTTCACAATTCAACAGCAAATTAAATTTCGCCTCCATTGTCACATGTGTTGCCAGTTCCAATATGAACTGTAATAGCCATAGAAATATAATATACAGGCAACGAGAGAGATAGATGCCCGTTAGTTCTCTCTGTCTCTGTTTAGATAAGCTGAGATTAGCTATCGTTAAGTGGGCATGGCTTTGATCGTAGAACAGGTGGGAGATTAGAAATTACCTCAGCCAACCACAGAGCTCGACTCGAAAGAGACAGAGGGAACTATCTATTCTCCATCTCTCTTGTTGCCCATACTGCAAGATTGGGGCCCTTGTTCACTCTATGCTTATATCTCTATGGTAATAGCAGTATATTTACGGACTTCGAAACATCACATCGTCAAAAATATTAATATTATGACATTATAATCTATATCGGCCTACGTCAGGTTCACGCAGAACCTTTAAACTACTTAGTTAAATATACATATCTCTTTATAAATTGCCACGTTTTTCTTGCTCCAATTCTATAGATTCGAAGAGGGTTTTGAAGTTGCCAGCACCGAAACCCTGAAAATTAAAAAATATATAATAATATGTATTTACTATTATTTTTAATCAAAATGAACTCAAAACAGTAACCACTTTAAAAATGTGCTTTAAGGTATTGATTTTATTGTTTATTTTATTTTAAACATTATGCACAAAATACAAGTCATTCTTCACCAGTCAAATATGGAGTGACGCAGATAAAGGAGGTTGGTCTTCTTTCTTTCATTTGAAAGGTAATATTAGGGATTTTGGCTATTAATTGGATTGGATCATTCAAAAATGAATTCCAAATTGATAGGCTGAGAAATAAAATCAAGTACATAAATTATTGTAAAGAGGATTTCAAAACTGATTCAATTCGAATTTATGAGGTAAATACTGCTGTTAAAAAAAAGCCAGAGAAGGACTGCAAATGCGCTACACTACGCGGGCCTAAAGAAGAGATCTCAAAAACAGCGCGACATGGTTTGTATATTTTGTCAAAACAAGCAATTTTAAAGATATATACGAAACTCAAGATCCACTTACGTTGTGATTCCTCCTCTGTATAACCTCTAAGAACAGCGTGGGTCTGTCCTGTGTGTTCTTGGTGAAGATTTGTAGTAAGTATCCATCATCATCGTAATCAATGAGTATGTTCAGCCTTTCCAAAGCATCGATACTCTCGGCTACTTTCACTTTGCTGTGTTGAAGCCGTTCCCTTATGAGCTGGTAGTATTTTGATGGTATGGAGAGGAATTCTACACCGCGGGCGCGGAGGTTTTCGATCTGTGAAAGTAATCATGAGTCTTTCTTATTGTGCTAGTATTTCTTATTTCCTGTTTTAGGAAGTAATGAGATATTTTAGCCGTTAAAATCTAAGACATTTAATAACTACAGTTGGTAATTCATTAACACAGAACCCTGTAGATATTTATAACATAATGATCACAATATACAGGGATTCCCCGCGTAAAGGCACTACACAATAAAACTAACCGATGCTATATAGAATGTCAATACTCGTAACTTATAATCATTTACATATCCTGGAGACATACTAACATAATTTAAGAAACAAATGGTTTGTTGTCAACTGTTACCTGTCAACCAGCTATGTCAAGGGTGTTATTTTTTCGCAATATTTTTTTATCATTTTTTTCTTAAATTAAATAGTAAAGTATAAATAGAATATATATTTTATATACATAATGTAATAAGATAAAGTAGGTACCGACGTGTCATTGGTAGGTCTATTGTATAGACAGACCAATGACACGTCGACTTAAAGGTAGGTTCGTGTGGCGTAAAAAGTAGGTAATTATAAAATGAATAGATACGACTATGAGTGCCGAATGAGTTTCTTTAAATAGCAAACAAACAGAGAACGAAACAAATGAAAACTCACGGCAGTAATAATATCCTCAGTATTGAGAGCTATGTGTTGGACACCAGCCCCGCCATGATATTCCACGTACTCTTGGATCTGACTCTTACGTTTACCAGCAGCTGGCTCGTTGATGGGCATCTTGACTGTCTCCTCCCAGTTCGCCATTACCACAGAGCGGAGGGCGGAGTATTCTGTGCAGACCTGCTTGTCATCTACAGACCAGAATCTAGAATGAAAACCAAAGACAGTCAACAACCAAAGTTACACAAATTAGGGAAATGTCGGTCTTGACTATTAATTTAATATTTTGTGATGAGTATGATTATTTGTGCTGTCAGGGTGTAATTTATTGACTTGCCACTATTACCTAAATACTAAAAAATCATAGCCTCTCCCGAAAATTGAAAGTAAAGTTAATTGAGTAAATAAAAAAATCAAATTAATTACTAATAATTATAGTCGAAAAAAAGACGCAAGCGAAAACTTTTTGTACCTTTTTATAACACGGAAAATTATACACACACACACACCGTAATAACCCATAATTTTCCGTGTTGTAAAAAGTTATAAAAAGGTACAAAAAGTTTTTCACGAATCAGTATTATCATACTAAAGAAAGATTAGATTTTTTGTAGATAGTAAATGTATGTTTTAATAGTGGTAAGTATCCCCGCCTGTCACGCGGGAGACCGGGGTTCGATTCCCCGCCGGAGAGATCTCTTTTTGTGATTTATTTTGATTTTATTTCGTCTGAAAATCTATTTCAGACTGAATTCTAAATGTTTATATTTGTGTATTATTTTTTCCAAATTCTTACCTGTGAAACTGCAGACATCTTTCATACCAAGATGCAGCCGCTTCCATTCCATTGTCGGGCTGGTTACCTACCACATGATCGATGAAGTTTATTTCCACTTTTGGGCTGTAAAAACAAAACTCATTAATCACCGCATGATCTATTGGAAATCAATTTTGTCCTCTGAGACATTATTTCACAACCTATGACATTTACTCTAGAAAGATACTCGTAGGTAAGATTATTTGATATAAAAAATCTGTTGGCCCATTATTATTGTAATTAAAAGCATATAAGATATGGTGAGTATTGTTGTGAAATAAATATCTTGCACTTCCACTGTTACTGTATGTGTCCTGAACCGTAGCAATTGAGTTATTAATAAGTAATAACTAATACAGAATGAAGAATTGGATATATATTTTATACCTATTGAACAGTCCAAAGTATAATAGAGTTCAAAATCGTGTGTCTAACTTATTGCTAGCTAAGTTGAAGATGAGCAGAGGCCCAAGTGTGACTTTATTTCACTTCTACTCGATTGTCATGGTGACCGCGTTCAGCTTCGTGATTGGCCCACACTGAAATCTCTACCAATCGCACCGCCAAACGCGCTCGCCGTCGAGAGTGAGACGATGTAAAATAAACTCACACTAGGCCCTCAGATGTGTAGTTGCGCTTTGAATCTCGTGTGTAAACAGATACAAAGAGCGCAATTACGGTCAAATCCAAACCCGACATTAATTTAAATAGATAACTTATGTGATCTATTTTATCAGATGTATACACTGACTTAATAGAAGAGATACAAGCAGTATAAACACCTGTTGTGCAAATATTTGGGTATCAGCGATTGTTCGAGCATACGCACGACTGCTAAACAATGCATGCTTAATAATCTCTAGGTGACAATAACAAACGCAGAACGACCTCCGTCCTCCATAAGCGCAGGCCTGGGGTGACAGGTGAGGCCATCTGTCACCCTAGCAGAAGCAGGCCGGGGTGGCGGCGAGCGCGTTGCGAAGCGCGCTCGCTTCCAGGGAGCAGAGGGAACATGGGATTCCCACACGGGGGAGGGTCGCCTACTCGTCTGTAGATGGCCCGAGGTATGTCGGGGCACCAGGGACTTCCTTTCTAGGGTATACCTGGTTCCCCGGCTATTAGTACCCGAGACGGCGTGCGGTTTTAGTCGGTTCGAGTCCGACATGCCACCGATAGGTGGTATCCGAGGGGATTTCCGCAGGGAAAAAAAAAAAAAAAAAGGTGACAATAACAAAGAACGTGCTCGAGCATGATCAATGACAATTTACTCATCGACAACGCCAGAGACGACGAATAGACAACGGTGACTAACATGACGCCTAACACGACGAACAAGACGCTAAAGACCCGCCACAGCGACGATGACCACTACACTGACGCCGACGATAACGAGTACAAAACTTTTGTTTGAAAACCTCTGGTCTAGATCAAGCAAGAAGTAATGTAATTAATACTTACAGGAACTTATTGATGACATCTTGGCCCAAGGTCCGGTACCCTGGTAAGAATGCTCCTCGGTATTTAGATCTGTCCACTAAAGTATGAGTATTGTCTCCATACTGTCGAAAAAGAAGTAGAGATTGATTATTAACAATGTCTTCAGCAAGAAAACGAACGTCTGTCTATACATGTGGAGTTGGAACGAAATTCCTTATCGCGCGTTCTGAGCGGATGGATGCGAGCCCGAAAAATGTGTAACAAGACTTTTTGACGACACTTCTTGCTATAGTACGCTTAGATCTTTTAACGAACTAAGCAACAAATTTAAATGCGGTTTTAACTAAAAGAGAGAGTAGTTTATGCATATTTTTGGAGAGAAAATCCGAGAACTTCAAAGATTTGTCGTAAAAAAGTTTTTGTGCGCAAATATGCAAAGGCTGCCTAACCGAGCTAGACCAAAATAATGTACTACGGGATTGTATATCTTAAAAAGGTCTTCAAAAAAGTCAGACAGGGGAAAACGAGCAGGCGGACCTGAGGGCCAAGAGCGAGTTTTTTTAACATGAACTCGCTCTCGACAGCGACTCAACAAAATAGTTTTGCTTAATACTTGATGAATGTTTACCGTTTTAATAGTCGCCATCCTCACAACTCCGAAAGTATCTTTCTCTTCCCAAAGATCCCGGACAACTTCAGCGCCTTGTTTCTTTGCATACTCTAAGATGTAGTCAAGGTTCTCAACATGGAAGGCGACGTCTTTAACAAAGTCTCCGTGGTAAGCCACCTCGTTGACGAACTCTGTCTCTTCGGGCTGATACTGTGAACGGAGTACGAAGACGATCTGACGGAGAAAGAAAGAAAACTAAGGAATTACTGTAATAGGTAGTAGTAAATAAGTAGGTATTGCTAGGGCTGAGAGCTGTATATAATTAATACTACTGTGTTATTTAGTATTACTATCAAATGCTGTTTTGCTGTATAAATATTTTATGATTCCTTCACACTTTTTTTCACACCAAAATTGCTCATGAATTGTCTATTCTATTCTAGGTAGAATTACTGTAATATGTTTGCTAAATAGACAGGTGATGGGAAGTGACTACCGCCGCCGCCGCCGGCTCTAATCACTCGGTAAAAGTAATGAAAGAACTGTTTGACACCGGTTTACTGTGAGCCCGTGGTATAACTCCGGTCGAGATTGGCTCATATGTGTCGAACCATAACTCTCCCACGAATATTTAGTCATCACTACATCAGGGTTTAGATTCTGATTAGACCACCTCTTAAAAAGCCCCTGCGGCAGCCTTGCCTCTTTTTCTTGAATCTAGCAAATTCCATATTAATTTAAGGCTAAGTCTAAGGGATAAGACTAGTAATAAAACCAGATGAGAGAAATACCTTTAAATGACTACTGTTTGCTAAAATTGTTGTGATATAAAATATTTGTCTCTTACACGTGTAATAACATATCTAAATGTCAAACGGAGGCTCGACCAGACAATCGAGTTATAATACTGGTTTACCTTATTCATTCGGACAACGTAAGAAGCGGTTTTTCGCGAGCCGGTCTCCAGTCCACTGTAAGCCACAGGTTCGAAGCCGAAACGTGTAATATAATAACTTGCTGCCTAAAACAGTAAATATAAATCTTATGAAAGTTTGAAATAATTAAAGATTTTTGTGTAAATTATAGCCCTCTTAGATTCAGAAGTATTGTAGTCAAATAGAGCGTAACATTCCGTTAACATTAAAACTTGACATATGATACAAAGACGGGTTAGTTACACCACATATAACTCCAGAACCTTTCATCATCATCATCATCATTACCATGTGATGAAACAGAACCTTTAGTTTGTTGAATTTTTCTTTGTCCCTAATAGCAGAATAAGTATTAAATATTTGAAAAAATTGTAAAGAAAAAAAATAATTAATTTTCACAATCATTGTGAGAACGCAGGTGAAACTGTGTTGAATTGCTAGTACCACATAAAGCTCACCTGTTTCGCGTTCGATACCCAGAAAGTTAGATGATCGAACGCAAGGAAACGTCCAGCCTCTGGTTTTATACCCTTGTCCGTGTACGAAGTCTGAAAAAAATATTTTACTCTCAATCAAACAAAATTATTATAATACATATGTAATTTCTGTATAGGATAAAATTCGAACCTTCCCAAGTATTAGGCAGCAACGCTAAATATTACCGCTCTTAGGAATTAAACATGCAAAAAGTGGAAGTTTATCGAAAGGGAAAGGTAGTTTAAAAAACTAGTTTATACAATTGCGTCGACGACTGCAGGCAAATAACTGGAAGGAAGGTTAAATTCCCTGTAACCCTACTAGGTATTGATGGGAAGCCTGGATCCAACAACTGCATTATACTATATTAAATTATATTTAAAAACACTGGAATCCTATTACAATAATAAACTTACCCTGCTGTATAAGGGTTTAAAATCTCGGATGCTTCAGGAGCTTACAGAAAAGTAAAGTTGAGTCTTAAGAGCTTTATAAGAAATCGGAATCTAAATACGACTAAATCTAAATGCGGTAAAGGAGAGCAGTTTATACACCTGATTTCAAAATATCTTCGCACAGATGGGAGGAAGGGATTCCTTAAACTATAATATTCTATTCTACCTTTCCATTCCTATTGACTTTTAGTGGACATCAAGTCCTCACAAAAAAGGCAGGATTCCTCGTACTATCATTTCAGATTTTGGACACGACCCGGTCTCCAAGACCCATACGGGTCACTTTAATAAATAGTAGATTTTAATCATCTCATTAAAGTGTCTAAGGGATTAAGTGGTTTGCCAATATTGTTATTTAATTATTAAAATTAATTAATTATTAATTTATTAATTAAATATTACTAATTCTTTCATAATAAAATACATTGTAATTCTCAAAAAATAATAATTAGGGTACGTACCATTATGATGCTCTATTAACAAATAAAACAGTTACGTAGGTGTAGCTTAACACTGAACTAGTGACGTTGTATCGAATAATATATTGAAACTAAAACGTAGAAGAACAAACTCTTGCTTATATTGAAGTAAGCGCTGCTATAATAAAGTTTTATAGAAAAACAAGATAGAAGTAAGGGTGCGTTCACATCAAATTGAGGATGTACGTAATAGCCGCTTAATAGCTTAGCTCTAAAACAGACACGAATTTGTGAAGCGTGATTGATAAAAACTGAAATTCAATAAAAGAGCACACAAGGAATACGATAAAACATTTTGCTGCTGGAGATATACGAATATGCTACTAGTATAGATACAGGCAGAAAGAAGGCTTTCTTTACAACGTATATACGTTGTAAACATTATAAATCAAGAAGTGAAGGTTTATCTCATTGTCTTGTTTTATAAGACTAAGAAGAAAACAATCATAGCCGCTGTTGATATGGTTTTTTAAAAGTCTATCAAGCACACGAACCCAATAAATGAAAGCTAGAACAGTGGTGTCCGTTCTATGAGCTTACACTACTCAGGTATATTATTAACTTATATTCAATTTTATTCTCGCTTTAAATCTTAGGCCTTATTGATCAATATAGGGACTAATAAAATAACTCCTTTTCGTGCATATATTATAAAAAATTAAATGAAAAATCTAGTCAAAAATCAGTACTGAACTACACTTTTAACATATTTTGTAGACTGAAATGGACATGATTTAACCGATACTTAAAAAAAAACACGCAAAAATTCTGAAGAAATAAAACAAGTTAGACGAATATTTTGTAGTCAGTGTGAACACCAGTCATTCCTTCGGAACTAACTGTGGCATGTCGTCGCGTCAGTGGTCCGAGCTATCGAAGTCGAGCCTCCGTTGCACAGTGCTGCTCAATGTTGATAGTGAACAAAAACAGTAAAAATAACAAACATTTTTAATATCTGAACTTGATCGAAAAGTATAAATATGGGAATGTTAATATAGGTTTGGTGCCACGAAACAGTTTTAAGTAAAAATAAAATTGAAGATAAATATATTATATTATTATTATGTCAGACTGATATTGTTGATCCAATTAAAAAATACTACATATGTTTTTGCATAAAACCGATTAGATCCACTAGGAAACCGTTCGAACATATAGCGATTCACCAAGCGGACCACTTAAATTGTGCAAACAGTTTTCTCTGTGGAAAACTCTTAATGAGATAATGTGCAGGGGCATACTTGGAATATGAGCTGGATGGCTTTATGTGACCACACATAAAATCTTTCTTTATTAAAAAATAAATAATTATATTTTAAATATTATTATGAACTTTTGAAGAACTCTAAATTTTATTTTAAAGGAAAACCATAACATTCAGTAAAATTAAGGATGATTTTAGTTTTTCAAAAGGCTTTACCTAAGATGCTGATGCTTCTTCTATCCAACTCATAAAGAAGTACTGGTTACTGACCGTGCTATCTGCGTCTTATAAAATCTACACCAAATAAATACATTATCTACAGTTGCAGGTATCAAGTTATGACAGCAGTTGAGCATGTATCAAAAGAAATCTGTAAGTACCTTTTTACTAATTCCTTGTTTACATCAATTGATAAATTAGAATTATTCACTTATGTATGTACTTGCATAATTATTTAAACGATATACCTGTTCTTTTACGCATTGTTTACAAAAACAATCTACGCATTGCAGTGTTATTTACAAACAACAATATTGAGACCAAAAAGGATGTGACATGTAACCAGTGTGCACGATTAACATTATGCAAATGAGATTGGATACAGAAAACTGGATTTATCATACGATCAAAGCACAGAAACGGGGTGAAGTAGACGTCATAAGAGCACTGTTAGCAGTGTGTATCTGAATGTAACCCACTCGACGTAGTAAAGCATTATACTTATTGTATTATGTAATGCCTAATGGGTTTCTTCTATACTACATTGCACATTGCATAGCCTAAATATTGCACTTGTTTCATTGATTGCTTTTCGTTTTTATTATTTTATGCCAGCGATAACAGGTAATTTAGAAAATGGAATCAATAATTGATAGAGAAAGTTCAATATGCCTTTTTTAATTATTGCTATTTTTGGAAATAATTTTATAAACAATCACAAAATTCAAATTTATATCTGACACAGAACAATATAACCTATTGCACTCGAAATTCAAATTAAATTCATTTTTTTTTAAAGTTTAAAAAGAGTTTTAAGAACAAAATTTCATGTACCGATACTGATTTCATGTAACGCACAGGCTACTGAAGAAATAAGAAGAAATAAACTAAAGATTTTTTTACTTAATGTTCAATTTTTATTTTGTTACAAAAAAATAATTGAGACGCTTTGTTTCAATGTCAAAATCATTTAGGTATATTTTAATGTCCCATATAACTAGATAAACATTCATTTTAACTAGTAATTACAGATTATTTTGTATGGACCCTGTTCAACATCATAACTAACGCCAACTTCAACATATAGAATATTAAATAATTCACTCTCGATTGCAGCAGTCTCTACCCCACGTTAGTAGCGCCTCGAGTCTCAGACCGGTCGGTTGGCCATTTAGCATATCGGACCACTCATTACAAAATATTGTGCAATACATTACCTTCCAGAAGTTTCCGTGACATTCTCAATGTTATTACTTTATCTATTGACTATTATTAACAAAAGTTATTAAAGACAAAGAAAACCTAGGTAGGTTATTTCTGTACAAAGAAACAAATAAAATTAAAATGTTTCTTCAAAATCGTTAAGAGGTTACACTGTGGGGATGTCGACTCACTATTAGGTTTAATAATATAACGAAATAGTGGAACTATGTGGTAGATAGACCCCATTTTTGGTCGTCAGAGTTTTATACGTGGAGGAAGGCAATGGCTGGCAAATGGCAATAAAATGTAAAACAAGTACAAGAGTCTGCTGATGAAGACCCTTGTACTAGTTTTACATTTTGTTTATACATAAAAGAAAAAGCACTGATGTTGTTTTGACGTTGTATCTATCTGCGTTGCTAAATCAGGTTTTTTGAAAATTAAAAAAACAATTTAGATACAAGAGCAAAAACAACAACAGCAAAAATATTTAATAGTACCTATAAATTTGTGTATTTATATCTTGTTTATATTTAAAGGATATTTTTTGTAACATACGTTAATTTAGTCTTATATCTTACTTGTTCCAAATAAAGGTTGTCTCAGTAAGACGTGGAACTTTTTCATTTTAAAATAAAAACACGTATTCCATAAAAGAGTTGTGATATTTTTATTAGGTTGTAAAGAAGACATGTTCCAATTAAGAATGGAATAAAATATCCGGCAAATAGCCCCAAGGTACTCATGCGAGGTACTCACTCTTCATTAAATTTTCTATGACTTTTACACAGAGATGTGGCTGTATCTCACCAATGACGCGTTGGATCTCTGATTTGAGTTCAGGAATTGTTTCTAGTTTATTGGCATAAACCCGAGATTTCACAAAACCTATAAATAAATTAAATACGGGAAGATTAAAGATACTTATCTAATCTTAGTCCATTTCTAATCTAGCCTATTGTCCGATGACAAATGCTCGTGCTTCTCACACAATATTTGTCCTGGGTGGGAATCAAACCCACGATCTCTTGGTTAGCAGTCAGGGTCGCTATGCACTAGGATTCACTAGATCAACTTCTTTACGATAAATAAAGAAGCAGAAGGTCGCTGCTGCAAACAGTTGAGAAGGCTTCTCGTCTAGCTTCCTTGTACGTCATCAGATCAATCACATGCATCTGCCGTCTTATTATAGTTATGCATAGTCTTCCCGTATATTCATGTATTATACAATTTCCTTGATGATTTTACAATTTTTTCACACCATCGCTGCATCGGTTCATGTTCTGTGGTAATGTCTTACCAGCGGTGGGTGGTATCCGAGGGAATGTCCGCACAGACAAAAGAAAAAGGCCATTTTTCCATGTCAACCTTGGGTTGATCTAGAAATGCCATAAAATTAATTTTATGAATCTGTTAAATCAAGACAAACTTGAATGAGTACGTCACCTACATGTCATAACTTCATAATATTTGACTGACCTCTTGGTCGTGGATTCGATTCCCACCCAGGACATAAATAATGAATATAGATGCGTGATGAGTTCGATCATCCGTTATGATATACACACATATTTTCATATGCATTAATTAACTCAATAATCTCCTCTGTCTTACTGTCAGTAAATAAAAGGATAATTTATTTAATTAGGTACATTAGTTTATTTGTTACACATATTAACAAAATATTTGAAGCTATACACAAAAAAAAACAAGATAATTATAATTTTATATAAAAACTAGCCTGCCCAACTTTGTCTGCGTTCCCAGAAGGAATAAATTTTCAACATCTTTGCACCATTTTTAGGGTTCAAAAGGTAAAAAAGGAACCCTTATAAGATCACTTTCTTGTCCGTCTGTCCGTGTGTCACCACCGATTTTCTCAGGAACGGGTAGACCTAGCAAGTTGAAATTTATATCAGATACTGAGGTCTATGGTCCCTATTAGGTGTATAAAAATCAGGGTCCATTTTTTTTTTTACGTGTGGTCCTGAGTCAACACGATAAAAAGATATGAGCAAATTTCGATTTTCGCGAGTACCAAAATTTACCTTAATTTTCAACTTTTTTTATTTTTCAGAATTTTCTATTTAATTGTGCTGTACCTTGCTTTTAACTTAAATTGGCAATTCTAGGTCAACCGGCAGTACCCAATAGGTTTTGGGTCGAAAACCTATATGGTAGTTCCCGTTGACCTTGAATCACGAAATTTGGCAAAAAGAAACGTTTTACAGCACAAATAAAGGAATAATTCCAAAAAATAAAAAAAGTCGAAAATTAAGATAAATTTTGGTACTTACAAATTTTCGCGAAAATCTACGTGAAATCTGGGTAGGTACGGAACCCTCGGGGCACGAGTTCGACTCGTACCTGACCGGTTTTTATTGATGCTGAGCACCTATTGGTGGCTGCCTGATGCTGTTATATAGCCTTCCTCGATAAATAGATTATCCAACACTAAAATAATTTTTAAATTCGAACCATTAGTTCCTGAGATTAGCGCGTTCAACTAAACTAAGAAACTCTTCAGCTTTATAATATTAGCATGGATTTAAATAACATAATACGAAATATCACTTAATTTATGTAGGTAAACAGTCCCATAATTTCTATAAACATCACTTTCACCTACAATATTTTTATAGGTATATATATATATATTATAAGATATTAGAATTCATTCAATTCTTCGACACTCTTTTATCGTTTTGAGGTTATTTAGTATTATTTTGATCTTTAAAATTCGGGACAATTGATAGTCTACTTCTATTAATACTTTTATTTATTTAGGTCACGTTTAATTATTTTAGGGGGCATCGAGGACATAAACTATATTTATAAAGTAGCCACTTAACATTCTACGACATAAACACAAAACACGGGTCAGACAACACATCAAGAAAATCCCTTTAAAAAAAGTTGAACCGACTTCAAACAATATTAACAAAGAGCATAAATGGGACCAAACAGAATGGGACCATTCGAACAAAAACAGAATTTTGAAAATTTTGCTTGAATGAAAAAATGAAAGACTAAGTTTTGCCCGAACATACATAAAAAAATATAAACATTCGAATTGACAACCTTCTTCTTTTTGAAGTCGGTTAAAAAAGCTATATTTAATAAAAGCTTTATAAGCATGGCTCCAAGGCTATACAGGTACCTAATAAATTACTAAAATCTCTATTAGACACCGATAATTTAAGTATATTTCAAACCCAACTAAAAATATTACTAGTAAATAAGACATACTATTCTGTAAAGGAATACTTATCAAATTTTAAAACTAATATTAAGTAACTGTATTAGTTATGTTTTAGTTGCAACGTCATGAGTCCGATTAATCGACTTTTAATAAATTGGTACATATATCATAAAACAAAAAAACAAGGAATGTTATGTTATAGGTTAGATTTTTTATATGTTAACTATATTTTGCATGCCCATTTTCCTAATAACCGTAATTATTAATCGGTGCTGTTTATGATTCACAATTAATAAATCTGAATAAACTTCTATGATTGATTACCAGTTTTTTAGTGACCTTTGGAAAGCCCTTACTAATTATAAGGCTTACGTAAAGGTAAAGAAGCATTCAGCCGCTTAGCTGCAGTAGAACACAGATGCAGTCTTAGTTGAGCGATTTGAACGAATACATAAAATCGCAATGCATGGCTAAACTAATATACTACTATCTTAAGACTAAGCGATCACCAGGTGTTACTTTATATATTTCCACGTTTCTCTTGTTCCACTTCTAAGGACTCAAAGAGTGCCTTGACGTTACCCACGCCGAAACCCTGAAATAATAAAAAATATAATTATAATAAAAAAAAAAATATAATATTATTTTTTATAATTGAATTATTTTTCAGATATATAAAAACCATGGAACTAAAAAGGAACCAGTTTATTTTAGATAACTTGACAGATACAAAGACGGTACACAAAAATTCGTATAGAAAGAAATACGACAGTTTTTATTACTTTTTTATTAAGTAATATAATCCTCTCAAATTTTTAACTCTGTTATTACTATTGTTGACTAACAATAAATTCATAATATATTTAATTTAATGATTACAAATGATATAATTTCCTGTTCAATTACAGCCATGATTGTTTTAAGATCAACGGGACAACTTTGGTGTAGAACGGATACTCCTGAGGTACAAGCAATATGGTGTGGTGGGAAGAAATCAGTGCGTGTCTGACCCAAGTAATGCTAGATCAGCACTACTTACATTATGATTACTCCTCTGTATGACTTCAACGAAGAGCGTAGGTCTGTCCTGTGCATGTTTCGTAAAAATTTGCAGTAAATATCCCTCATCGTCGTAGTCAATGAGGATATGCAACCTCTCCAAGGCGTCAATGCTCTCGGCCACCTTCACTTTGCTATTCTGGAGTCGTTCTCTGATGAGTTTGTAATATTTTGGTGGTATGGTGAGGAATTCGACGCCACGCTTTCGCATGTTTTCGACCTATAAAACGAAATGAACAGTTTAGAAATATGTTAAAATAGTGTAATAAAAATAGGTAGCACATATAGTTTATAACAGCATGACGTAAATACAATTATATATTGAATATTCAGTATTTGTAAAGGAACCTGGTTGAATAAAATTGAGGAAAAATATTCTGAGTTCGCGACATGCGCGTAAAATTAACGATCTTTACATACACACACACATGTCTATTATTTATAAAACATAGTGATCGACCGAAGGTTCTGTTTCGGTTCCAGTTTCGGTTTCGGTCAAAATTGTCCGAAACTGACGGCCGCACCGATACTCGGTGTTCGTAAAGTGTCGTGCGTCGTTCGGTTAACTTCGCGGCTAACGTGTGGGGACCAGCTCTGGCTCAGTTCGCCGCCATTCAGTACGATTTTTTTTTGTGTATGGAGGCAAGCAAGCAGACAGGTCGAATGATGGTAAGTGACTACCGCCGTCCACGCAACCTAAGAGTCACCGTGCACAGTGCATTGCCGCCCTTTCAGTCCCTCCCCCAGAATCAGAAGAAAGGGGAGTCGGGGACTCTCACTCGGTGAGAAGCAACGAATGAAATTTATAACACCGGTTTTCTGTGAGGCCGTTGTATCACTCCGGTCGAACCTGGGCCATATGTGCCGAGGCATGGCTCTCCCACGACTAACTCTTCTTTTATGTTTTTTTTTTGTTTTTACATGTACCTTGTATCTTAAAAGTACACACACATACAAGAGAATATGTTCGATTCAGATATAACTTAGGGCCGTATTGCAGAACGTTTCTCAAACTTGAGTGTAGTTTTATAAGGCGATAACTAACCTAGCGTTTCTGGAGTTTTGAGTGACATTTTATAATAAAACCCTAAGATTTATATGTTTGTAGATACTTAATTGTTGTTGAATTACATTAGGATTTGGGGTACTTCAATGTTAAAAAAAAAAGCAAAAAACTAAACTATGTGTGATCTTCAGTTGGTTAACTTTAACTGTGAGAAAACGCGTACAGTCCGTTTAAATTACCTAGTGAGCCACTTTGCCTCGTCCTTTTCCGCCTGTCGCGTGGAGAATCTTGTTCGGTTTTCGCTGAAAAATCTATTTCAGTCGGACACTAATAAATCATAAAACGATTAGCTCATTAAAACAAATCAGTTTTCTTTGTTTTTAAATAAGCCACTAAAAGTCAAAGAGATTAACCTAAGATTGGTTTATATTTACAAAATACACATTTTAGAAGTCGAAATCATACAGTGTAGGTAGGTAAAATAAAATTATTCATGCTTTCTTAAAAGTATTTCTACTTTCTTATTAGTAAATAAATTCAATGGACAGTTTCTGTGCTTCTTTTCTCTAATAATAAAAACGATGTATACAACGCCATCTATCAAATACATATCGAACTGCTTTGAAACTCATAGACACTAGATGGCACTAGGTGTATTGCTTAAAAAGCATAAATATTACGATGTTTCCTCTTACAGCTGTGTATTTGTCTGAAATAATTGATTTTTACTACATTTTGACTCACTTATTATAAAATGCTAAACATTAAAAACTCACTGTGCTTATAATATCTTCAGTGTAGACAGCAATGTGCTGAATACCGGCGCCGCCATGATACTCCACATATTCCTGGACTTGACTCTGGCGTTCACAAGAAACAGGCTCATTGATGGGGATCTTGATTGTTTCCTCCCAGTTTGCTACCACCAAGGAACGGAATGCCCTGAACTCAGAGCGAACCTGCTTGTCATCTACAGACCAGAATCTAGGGCAATTTAGGCATCATATACTTAAGTAATTCGTCCAGAAACAAATTTAAAAATATAACAATTATTGAGATAGTTTAGATACATGTTTAATTTAGATCCATTTTGATTAAGGCTTAGATTATTTATATGTCATATAAATAATCTAAGGATTTAGGTAAGTGGATTAATAACAGATACTTAAGTATCGAGACCTAACGTAAAGATGATTAAACAGTAGAAAAATTCGATTGTTAGTCATATCGATAGTAATCTTCATTAAACATGTACATAATAGGACGATTCTTTTGTGATAAGTAAACATACTTTTATCATATGTATGAACTAATCGTTAAATTGGAAATGATTGCTAAGTCTTCGGTAGTATAGTGGTAAGTATCCCCGCCTGTCACGCGGGAGACCGGGGTTCGATTCCCCGCCGGAGAGATCTTTTTTGTTAATATTTTGAAAGGTTTAATTCTTTTGATATAGTTTTTGTATTTATTTCGTTATAATTATTAGTTATACGAGTTAAATTTTCGTACATGTATGTTCTTACCTGTGAAACTGTAGACATTTAGTGTACCAATTTGCAGCGTTTTCTATTCCATTTTCGGTCATGTTGCCCACCACGTGGTCGATGAACTTTATTTCCACTTTTGGCCTTTTAAAACAAAAACAAGTAACTGCTAAAAATATAATATCAATGAATTAATTGAAAGACGACAAAAAAAAGGATTTAATTTCATTTTATTAATTTTTTGTATATATTAGGTCTTTACCTATGAAATTGCCGTTTTGTATGCAATAAGTGAAAGTACTTATTTATTCAAACTTTTTTATTTCTGTTATTCGAAGTAATCACCCATGCAATCGACGCATCTTTATTTTATTATTTTTTATATATAGGTACTAGCTGACCCGGCAAACGTTGTTTTGCCGGGTCAGCTAGTTATTACATACATTAGATACATTATTTCTAGGAAATATAAAAAAAAATCAGGGCTGGGTCACCCTTGTCATTTAGGGGTATGAAAAATAGATATTGGCCGATTCTCAGACCTACCCGATGTGCACACAAAATTTCATGAAAATCGGCCCAGCCGTTTCGGAGGAGTATGGTAACTAACATTGTGACACGAGATTTTTTTATATATAAGATATTTCTTATCTGTTTTATAAAATCTGAAAAACATAATTATTAGTCTAAATGTAAATATAATTACAATCTAATCATTGTTGTATAAGTTTGACGCATGTCGAATTGCAACATAAAAGCGCACGATGAACATAAAAGCGCACCAGTGTAGCCTTGCGAGTGAATTATTAGGTGGGAAATTATTACAGCTGGCAGTGGCTATGTTACTTACAAATACTTGCTTATGGGATCTGGGCTCAACGTCTGATATCCTGGCAGAAATACTCCTCGATATTTGGATCTGTCCACTAATGTATGTGTGTTATCGCCAAACTGTCGGAGAAGTAGAACAAGTGATTTAAAATACTAAATAAGTACAAAACAGCAAAAATGACCACGCTGTTCTTGATACTGCTTTAAATAATCGTTACCATGATTTAAAAGCGTACGTAGCGTACTAATCCTTGTATGTCAGGCGTAAATGAAAGGTATTACGTAAAATGGTATGACTTAAATTTCGTGTGGTGACGGGTTTAGAACATGGAGTGTCGTGTCACCACAGCATCCCTATTTATCCCGTGGGTGTCGTAAGAGTCGATTATGGGAGCAAACTACGCAGGACCATAGCACTGCAAAGAGAAGGAAATCAACTCAAACCCTATATCAACCCATCTGGCCAGAGTGGCCAAAACCTCCTATCTAAGGAGAGGCTTATGTCTAGTAGTAGGCTATGAAAGGCTGTTGATGATGACGTAATTGGAAATTACCTAATTATCACCCTTCTGAAGTTAAATTCTAACGCGATTGCCCAAAATATGGAGTTGTGTCATTAGGAAAATCATTCTTGCAATGCTTGATTTTTTTGGGTGGTTAATATACCGCAGGAGAGTAAAGAACGAGAATGGTGGATGAGACCAAAAATGACATATGATATATAATGACATAATACAGACTATGAAAGCTTTGCACCCATGTCAGCCTAGGATAACTTTTTACCGTCTTTACAGTAGCCATCCTCACAACTCCAAACTCATCTTTCTCCTCCCAAAGATCGCGGACAACTATAGCGCCATGCTTCCTCGCACACTCTAAGATGTAGTCAAGATTCTCCACTTCGAAGGCGACGTCTTTGACGAAGTCTCCGTGATAAGCCACCTCTTTGACAAACTCTGTCTCTTCGGGCTGATACTGTGCACGGAGCAAAAACGTTATCTAGAAATTAACATTAAAAAAATGATATACTATGTATGTTTAATAGCTTTCAACTACTTTTATATAAATAAATAACTTGTATTGTAAAAAATGTTTTATGGATCTTTTACACTTCTTCACAGCAAAATTACCCATGAAGTCGTGTTTACCGTCGATCTGTCTATCCAAAGGTTCTCTGGCAATATTTTGAGCAATATCTTAATATTCCTCTAAAGCGATAAGGCTGCCATTTGATGATATTCACTTATAGCATTCTTGTTAAAAAAATTCTTGGTGTACAATAAAGTTTATTTTATCTGAAGAATATAACAAAGGAACTCTGAACACCAGACAAGACGCACACGGTCTGTATATGCAGATAGTTTGTCCATCTTCAGAATCGAATGTCTTTGATCGATCGACATCGATTATTCGGGTCTTAACTAACATACAGATAGACAAACAGCCAAGGCAATGATACTATAAAGGTGCCTTTGGTTATAATATTGATTCCTATATATATTAACCACAGTCAGTTACTTAATAAAACTCTTTGGTAAAATAAATTACTTGTTTAACTAAAATATTAATTATTTCTGGTTTACCTTGTTCAATCTTACGACGTAAGAGACCGTTTTACGCGACCCAGTCTCCAGTCCACTGTAGGCCACAGGTTCGAAGCCGAAACGGGTTACATAGTAACTTGCTGCCTATAATATAATATGAAAATTTATCCGGGAAATGTTAATGTTCGCCACATAGAACAGTGAATCAATGTTCTGTCCTTCTCCCTCTCCTCTACTGTCTGCGGGATGAGCTCATGGCTCGACCACCGGCCGCCATACATTATGGGAGAGGCGCCATACATCTGGGAGATTTATAATTATGCAGACGTTGTAGGGCAACTCTCAACGAAAAAAATGCAATTTTTTCAGTGTCGTGGGATTTGTCGTTTTATTTTTACAGTACTCGTAAAAATATTTTCTTTCACTTTTCTATGAACGCTTGCCTGTTGGTCTATTGGTTAGTAGTCCTAACTGCTAAGGCAGCGGTTACGAGTTCGATTCTCACCCAGGACACATAATTATGTGATAGGCTCGATAATTTGTTCTGTTATATGTGTGTATTTAAAAGCACTATAAAAAAAAAGAAAAACTTTAAAACTATCCCTGTACCAACAAGTCTGGTCCGCGAGGTATAATAGGCCAAAACCTCCTTTCTGACGAAAGTCCTATGTCCAGCAGTAGACTGTTAGAGGCTTTTAATAATGTTGATTTATGTATTAAGAAATATAAGTATGTTTATCGGGAGTTTGGTGACTATAACACAGGCTTGCCTAGCTTGAGACCAGACGGCCGTGTGTGAGATGTCTGAGGCTATTATTGTACTACATTAGCAGCACAATGACATAACTAAATGGCATTTCACTTCCTGGGAAAGAGAACGAAATACTGACTAAGGTACGGCTATTAAATTAAACAAACTCACCTGTTTTGCGTTCGATACCCAGAATGTGACGTGGTCGAATGCAAGAAATCGTCCGCCTTCTGGTTGTTTGCCCTTGTCCAAAAAAGCTGTCTGAAAAAAACACGGTTTTTACCTATGAGGTTGGATATTTGTTAAAATATAAAGTAATGTACAAAGTCTGCTGGACGGGAGGGGGTGAAGTCAGCGGAAACGTTTAGTACTGCTAGTAGAAAATTATCTAAATTTGGAAAAAAGTAAAAATCTGTTTGGTCAAGGTCCGGTGAGTACGGTGGGTGACGGAGAGCTTCCAACTGTGAATCTTGTAGCTTTGCGATGGCCTGTCGTGTTGACGTGGAAAAGCAATTTAAGAACGATTGACCAGTCGTGATTGTTGAATTGCTAGATTCTCCATCGTTGTTTGCAATTCTAGGCAATAGACATCTGCCGTCACTCTTGTGCTATTCGGTAAGAAGCTGTGATGTACAAGTCCAGCCCTGGTCCACCAGACAGTCACCATCATCTTCCTATGGGTAATCTTTTTTTTACGCACTGATTAGGTGCTGTACCCGGGTCCACCTAATGGGACGAACGCTTACATTTGTCGTACAGGATCCACTTTTTATTGCAGGTAACTCGATTTCCCTCGTTTCTTTGCTAATTCAGTAGTGCTATGCATGATTTAACGCGTAAGTCTCACGATCGAATATGGTTACCGGCGACCGCGAGGCTCGTTCTTCAACTCAACATTTTCAAAACTAAAACGATTGATTTAATAATGAACCGTGTTTATACAAGCTAAACAAAACACTATCTAAAACAAATGACTTTAAATTAAAATAGCATGGCATTCGAATTAAATTTATTTTAATCTCTAATAGCGCGCCAATTCGCATAAATAATTAATTATATCAGAAAATGCTGGTTTTAAAAATGTCCAACTTCATAGGTAAAGACCTATTACTTTTACTACATACTACTAAATCTTTTAGGAACTCGCCGTAACTATTTATGAATTATTCGTCTTTTTAGGGCCATCATCATAATCAACAGTCTTAAGTAGTCCACTGCTGGACATAGGCCTCTCCTTGGGAAGGAGGTTTTGGCCTACTATACCAAGCTGGCCAGACGGGTTGGTAAAGGGTTTATTTTTAAGTTTTCCTTCTCTTCGCAGTGCTGTTGTCATATGTAGTTTGCTCTCTTAGTCTGCTCTGCTAGTCCACACGGAATGTGATGAGTCTTAAAGGTTCCGTTACTCAAAAGGTCATAAAGATCCCATGGAGGATCACTTATTGTCTGTCACTGCGGAAAGCGTAGATTAAGCAGGAATTTACAACAACTTAACTCAAGTATTTGATAATTATTTAGGTTAACAGGATCTGCAACACCTACTCTGTTCTACGCCTTCATCCTTCAAATGTACTCAATCGATAGATAAAGCCATTTAAACTACATTTTTCATGAATAAAACATTTCGTTTGTGATCGTTATCTTTAGAGGACAAACTGCATATAAAAAACGTGCAAATTTCCAAAAAAAAATATTACCTCGGCGCACGAGTTCGACTCGTATCTACCGGTTTTTTTAAAAATATGTTTTAAGTTAAGTCAAATTATCTAGTTTTTAAGAAGAACGATAAGGTTCAAGGTACTTTATTAAGACTAATCAACTGTTATAGGATAATATAGCATAAGCTATAAAATATTAAGTTTTAAAAACATAGCAATAAAGTTCTTTTTACCGGCCTTATATCTTACGAGGGTTTTAAGATTATTAGGTGTTTATTGATTGGTTGATTACTCGATTTAGTCAGTTAAATTATGGTGTATTAGAGCCACCATCAGGTGTCATAGGTAATTATTATTGTTGAAAAAAAAAAATGTATAAATCAAAAAGCTTTACATAAATTATATTTTTACATAAAACAACCTATTATACTCGATTATCATGAAAATGTGCATGTACTTTATCGGGGAACTGGATAAGAACTAAGACACTTCCTTTGTACAAAAATCTAATGATAACGCAAGTAGTAAATTGCTTAAAATACACATTTAGGTAAGTGAAACCGCAACGAAAAACTAGCCCTTATAAATAAAAAAAAACTATTTCATATTAGGTACGTACCATTTTGTTAATTCATACACAAGAATTAATAACTTAATAGTAAACAGTTTGCCTAACACTAAAATGTGTAATAGTAACGTTACGTCAAGAGACGTTACTCGATTAAGCGATTATTGGACGAGCACTCGTTTATATTCAACGACAAATCTAGAATCTATAATAAATAGATTTTAATATGAAAACGAGATAGGAGCAAGGGCTGTCACTCGACTGCACAGTTTTACATTAAAGTATAGACCTTATAGAGTAGGTATCTCTCAGTGGAGTTGCCTAAAAATTTCCAAAAAAGAGGGTAAATCTTCAAAGTTGAAACATCCGCAATTTATTGTTAGACAAAAACTTTTATTTTTTAATTATAGTAACATTTATGCTTTACAGTTCTCATTATTACTGACTGAATTAATGGTTTGTTATCATTTGGAATTATACACAAGATTGCTGTAATGAGTATCTCAATGAGCAAGCATACTCACGTCTTTATTTTTTTTTATTTTTTTTTTATGAGCAATTGTGAGATACAATTTTAGACAGAAAATAATAGATTGTGTTAATAATAGATTGTGTTATTTTGATCATATGCTAATACCACATGAGTAGATAAAATCTAGTAGTATTAGAGTAGTAAATCTATAAACGGAACGGAGATAAAGCTTCATACAACCGCGAGAATGGGTTGCACTACTACAGCGCACACTACTACTAAGCGTGACCGCTTGTCGCGTACGCGGCGAGACGGGGAAAAACCGGTTTACGCTGGCATAGCCAGTGGACAATCTCAGGGTCAGTGCGACGACGTCACCAGGGCCTTCCTTTCTAGGGTGTACCTGGTTCCCCGGCTATTAGTACCCGGCGAAGGCGTGCGGTTTTAGTCGGTTCGTGTCCGACATGCCACCGGTGGTATCCGAGGGGATTTCCGCACGGAAAAAAAAAAAAAAAAAAAAAAAAAAGGTCAGTGCGACGTGGCCAGACCGTGGACACGGCTCTCCACACGCTGACAGAGTGCCCGGCGTGGGTTGAACAGAGGCGAGACCTCGTAGCGGCCATCGGGGTGGGAGTTCTCTCGCTCCATAGCCTGATTGCGGCTATCGTGCGGAGCGAGAGTGCGTGGAACTCTGCCGTCTCCTTCTGCGAGCAAGTTATGCTCGCGAAGGAGACGGCGGATCGGGACCGGGAGAGGTTTAGAACTCTCCCGGCCCGCCAGGCCCGGGAACGGGCTAGGTACCGCAGGCGACTCAGGCGCCGGAGGTCGCAGAACGACCTCCGTCCTCCATAAGCGCAGGCCTGGGGGTGACAGGTGAGGCCATCTGTCACCCTAGCAGAAGCAGGCCGCGGCGGCGGCGAGCGCCTTGCGAAGTGCGCTCGCTTCCAGGGAGCAGAGGGAACATGGAGTTCCCACACGGTTCTTCTATTCGTCTGTAGTTGGCCCGAGGTATGACGGGGCACCCGGGACTTCCTTTCTAGCGTATACCTGGTTCCCCGGCTATTAGTACCCGAGACGGCGTGCGGTTTTAGTCGGTTCGAGTCCGACATACCACCGATAGGTGGTATCCGAGGGGATTTCCGCACGGAAAAAAAAAGAAAGAAAAAGGGTCAGTGCGACGAACGTTGTTTGTTTTGTTAGTTTCAAGTTTAAATATTTTAATGTAAAAACGTGGTATTTTATTATTAATAATGGTTGTTTATTGTACTGTGTGTATGAATAATAGTAGAAAAAACAAAAATATAATCATACTTTAGCTATCCCATGGAGTACAGTACAATATAAGTAAGTAAATATTTGATTTTTAATTTTTCAAGTAGGTATTTTATGGTGTCATCCTTTTTTTAATAAGAAGAGGGTGTGTTTTTAGTTTTTACCTTTTTATTGTTATTACAAGCTTTTACTAAACATTTGTAGGTATGTGAGTGGGTTGGTATGTAGTAGGTATGGGTGTTAAGTTTAAATATTGCAAGTAATATTTAAACCACTTTCCGATGTCTGAATGAGCTGAAATTTTGTATACCGTAACTTCAGTGACAATGCGATAGTATGATAGATATAACCTGATGCTGTAGCAAGCATTCTCTCCTTACGAGGGAACTCTTTAACGGTTAGTAGCAGGGACTCGAAACTTTGTATTTAAATATAATTTTGTTTGCTAAACATACATATGAACTGCTGCAGGCAGGATAGCCCCCTCACAAGGCAACTCCTCAACAGCTATGGTAGCATAATCATGAAAGTTTTAATACGCTATTAAAAAGTAATTTTTAATGAAAACTTATAATTAATACCTACATCGTTCTTATTATTATGCTCGAGCAAAAGTTTCGCGAATATTTCGACCTTGAAATAATATTGTCAATGTTGGCAACGAAATACTTAAACGTATTAAAGATTATAAATTTGATATGCCATTTGAGTGTTTCCCTTTAAATTACTTGAAGAAACTTTGTTAGATTCATAATTAACCACACCATTAAAAGAAACAATTAATGATTTAAAAACATAAATTATAAAAATAAAATTATTAGAGTAAGTAATTTGTAAAGAATTATATGATACTGATTAATAAAACTATTTAACAAATGTTTTGTTTAATTTGTCTTCACCTATTGTGACAACCCTACCAAAATAGGTAACAATTTTGCACGTCCTTAAGCTTTGTCTCTGTTCCATTTATCTACTCATGTGCTAATTCGTGTCCACGTAATCATCTAAAAATCATACATATTTAGGTAGTTATTTTTGATGTTTGTTAAATTGGTATTCAAACAAAAACATCACACCATTGACGAGCAACAGACTACTGATAAACAAACTTCTATATTTTTAGAAACATAACAAATGATCGTTCTCATCACACAATTATTTATCTAGGGTGAGAATCGAATCCACGACCACAGGCTGGACACTAAGTTCCTACACATTTTGAGTCGGGGTTTTTGTTTGTTTTTCAATAATTAGCTTGTTGCATTATTGATCAGACTCCGTGTTTTGAATACCCATCGTTTCTGATCTTTGGTTATATTAACATAAGGCAATATATTTATTGATCTTAAGGCAATTTAAATCGAACAAATTCAAATTCGATCAGCGGGCGATGGAGCTGCGATGCTTGGTGTTCCTCTAGTGGACAAAATTCGAAACGAAACGATTCGACAGAGAACTGCAGTAACCGACATCCAACGGAGAATCAGTACGCTGAAGTGAAAGTGAGCCTGTCATGTCTCCAGGCGCAATGATGGTCGCTGGAGCCGACATCTGCTAGAGTGGAGACTAGCAATTGGGCAAACGTAGTGTAGGGTGCCCTGCGGCACGATGGAGCGACGATTTGACGAAAATGGCTGATAGTGGATGGATGCGGACTGTCTTTAAGTCTTTGTCGAAAAGTCTTTAGTGAACTTTCAGAACGTTAGTAAGTATTTCAATTACGTAGCAAAGACAAAAAAACTATGTTCGCTTTTGTCTCTAGTGAATATCAAAGTTTTTAGGCGTCGGTTTGTTTTCAAAAACACACCTACGGTTTGAAACCACGCACGTCTTGAAAACGCAATTATACTGAATCGGGGCCCTGCATAGGAATTATGCTCAATATTATTCCAGTTGTAATGTGTACCTAATACTTAGCATACTAGCATAATTATGCTAAGTTAATGTTGTGAGCTTCAGATGTCATTTCCAATTGGTAAATAAAAATATCAATATACTGACTCATAGTACAAGATAAAGCCACGTTTAGCTTGTCTAGTTAAGTAACATACCCAATGTTACGTGACCATATATTGTTATTATATAACGTGTTAAATTATACTCATTAGATATACAAAACAAGACATCAATAGAAACCAGAATGTCATAGAAATATTACAATCACGTTTGTAAAGTTAAATAGCCTTAAAATTTCAATCATTTAATACCATCAATCATCATAAACATCCACGGCCTATGTCAGTGGACATAGACCTCTCCTTACAAACGAGGTTTCAGGAGGAATATCTTAATATATTCGAAACAAACAACAACAATGTTAATTATTAGGCAACCTATAATTAATTTGATGTCGAATCAGATACAAATAGATTTCACTGAGTTAAGTCAAACAATTGTTCTGTGAATTGTTATAATCTTTGCATTTCTTAACATATCTGGCAATTTATTACATATTTAAGGAGTCATTGCGAAAATATAACAAATAATTTACCAAAGTATGTATTGAAGTGAACTAGGTTGGAATCGAACTCACAACTATCTCAGCGCAGTTGAACGTCGTAACCACTCGACTATTAATAGCGGGTTATCCTAATTCACTTGCTTTTAATAGGTTTGATATAATAATGTTAGCGAAGTGGAGAATACTTGCTAGCTACTTATTGGCTTGCTGTTAACAGTTAAAGGACTTGAGCAACAAAGTAAACAATTCTTTATTTTGTACCAAGACGATAACAAAAGGCGGAACGAATACTCACACAATGCGACACAGTATTTATGCACAAAAATAATTAATAATAGTAAACATAGAAAAGATTCGGTCCTGGCAATTTCTGAACGTGGGCGTAGGCCGTAGAACGAAAGATGTGCGTCGACCATATTGCGCGCGCGCTGGTAGTACATTAGTAAGTGGGCGGCCATCTTGCGGTAGGCGGGGCATACGATACTAATCCCTTACACGTGGAGAACATCACGCCATATGTGACGTGAATTGTATGATCTTGTGCTACCTCCTAACGCATAGGGGTTACTCCCCTAGTCCCGACACCACTCCCCCGGTGAGACCGTGTGTGATAGTAGTCTGGAAATCTGACAGTGCGCCCACTTCTGGTCTTCTTCAAAACGGGTTGGCACTTTGCTTCTTCGCTACCTGCGGTAACTGTCGGTGTTTCATTTGTGACAAATGCGGGTTTGAGGCGGTCTATTGTAACTTTTTGCATCTTCCCCTTCACCTCGATGTCATAATATTTAAAGTTACGTTGCAGAAATACGGTCCTAGGTAAGGAGCTTGCAGTGGCCTTCGTTCGGACCT